AGTTTGTTTATTACGCTTTACGGGGGAGGCGTTCTGACTATATACGTCTATGAGTTTTGTTATAAATTTCACATATCACAGATGTAAACAGGGACGGCCATAAAGAGAGCAACTGGCTAGTGGAGAATAATTCAAGGAAAAAACTCAACGTCTATTACTCAACGGGAAGAAACGTGAGTTGGTTAATTGTGAGAATTTTGAATTGTGTTCAGTGGCGCTGGAAATGAATCCCATTACATCTACCGTTGCTGCATCCTGTAATCGGCTTGTTCTGAGTCCGCGGACATCTCCTCGGAGCAGTCCGAAGCCTTCCCCAAATGTGCGAAGGAAAGCACCATTTCTAGATCTGCCAGATGAGGATAATTTTCAGCGCCGCGACTCGAAAGAAGTTGTAGACTACAAAAAGCAACTAGCCGCAGAGACGAAACAAGCGTATAAAGAAAAGCGAAAGGAGGACAAAAAGTCGGGGAATGGTGGCGGAAAAGCCAATACTCAAGCCAGCAAAGAGAAGCCTGGAAAACGACTTTTAGACGAGGCCGTGACTACAACGACTGAAAAACAAGGCCAGAAAAAAACTGGAAATACGAAAGCTAGCAAGTCATCGAGTAGTGCCTCAAAAAAGGACAAGAAGTGCACAATAATGTAATTATCTTGGTATCTAATCGTCTTTCTTAGTTCGCTTTATGAATATTAAACTTCTTTTACTTTACACAGGACCGCGAATCGAACGAGATCGCAAAAATCTCCTTGTCTGTTGCTCTAAACCTAACGCGAAGATGACAATTTAAAAAAGAGGGTCAGTCTCGCAAAATTAAAGTATCTCTTGTGAAAATTGGCGATTTTTAGGCTTTGTGATGCAGAATAAACTCGAAAAGAGGAAGTTGTTTAAAATTAGAATCCTTCAGGATTATGTCTGTGATCGATTATTGTGGAACAAGAGCTAAACAGCCGGTCAGCATGCAGTTTGAAGGTTTTATTTTTAGTCTTTAATGTGTTTGAAATTGAAAACATTTGCGTCCAGAAAGATAACACGGAAAATTAAGAGCTTTTTTGCGCCAGATACACCTGCTCCAGCAGTGTTTTTGGAATCTTTCGTGAGTCTGCCTTTTTTAATTGAACGGCTCCTTGATAGAAAATCGCGAACAACTCGACGAATAATAGAAAATTGACTCGAAACGGCGAAACACCAGTGGAACCACACTGGCTTATTTAAGAGTTAATCGCGGAAGGAAAAGCAAAAAGAATATTGTTGGAGACAATCAAATTTTTTTCATACACTTACTGATTGTGACCGGCTATTCGAAACAAAAATGACTGCATTTCGGATTAAAATTCAGCCGTTGAATTGAGTAAGAAAATCGCATTTTTAAACAGACCTTTGGTAAATATTTACTTTTCCCGCGAGGCAAAGATCAGTTTTGCAATATTATGCAAATTTCCGTGAATACATGATCATTATTCAGTTCTATCTCGATGTAAGGAGTTGCTTTGCGACAATCTATAACGTTGTTGTTAGAAACAGCATTTTTTTTCGAAAAATTTTCTTCAATATTTCACACGTTTTCCATATATTCCTAATTATCAACGCTATTCTCGGTAGTTATGGAGAAATAAGCCAGTAAAAGATTATTGAAATTCATAAACGATGAATAAAATAAGTGAAAAAAAAAATCGAGCCTTCTTTGTTATTTGCATCTAATGGGATTGATGTACTATGTCAGAAACAAGTTTTTACTCTGAGTGGACATGTGACTACATTAAAAACATCCACATTTTCTTTTTTCTCTTGAGGTACCCTGTAGAGAGCTGCGTTTTTAAGGCAGGAATTGTTGTGGGAAGTTAACGTAACGGTTTTTCGAGTGGATGAAAACACTAAATAATTTTAGGCCTTTTAAACCACGCAAAAAAAAATTTAAAGTGATAAAATTTATTGAGACATCTGTACTGTCAGACTTCAAGAAATTTCTCGCAAATTTCCTTGATTATTCGATTATCTTCTATAAGGCCGCTGTCTATATACTGTTGAGTGTAGTCAGAGCAATCGCGTTTAGGCCATTCCCGTAATACTGTGTTGCTTTTCATCTCTTTCCTCACTGATTCATTCTTTTTTTTCCCAAAATACAAAAAAATAGTTTCCAATACACTGTCAGGCAAAATTTTGATGTCAAACTGTTTAATTTCACATCCTCGATTTTACAGCAAGCGTGTGATCAGTACTCTAGTAACAATCATTTCTGCCTGATTTTTTAGCGCATATAATTATATTTGACATAAAATTTTTGGGTTACATTTGAAAACAGTGTAAATAAATTCGCTTCACAAGCAAACAGCATGGTGTAAACGGGCCATCTTACTCAGCACGCAGGCTTTTTTCTTGAATTCAACTCAGGCTCCCTCGGTCTTTTTTCTTTTTTGCCCCATCGACCCAGGCCACTTTGATGACAAGGAGAAACAAGCCATTTTAAGGCATAGCATGACTGAGTTGAAGATAGATGATAGAGTTGAGTTGATTTTACTATTTCTTGACTTGACACTCATTCGAAGCTGACTTGAGTTACAACAAATTCACTTGAAAAACAAACTTTCATATTTGCCATGAGATCTTTAGACATTCTACAACTGAAATGGTTCCACAAACCTGTGAAAGGTCAAGTGACATTTATTTAAATTGTGCGATGCGGCTCCATAAAAAACAGCAGCTAAGACACTGGTCATTATTAATCGTGGATTTTTTTTCTGGGGGGGGACCATCAATTAACTTCCTATGAGGGAGGATCATAAGAAATCCTCCGACTTCCCCCAAACCCCCCGACTCCCACCTGAATGGATGCAGTGATGTACGCAGCATAGGTAAGGACCGACATGGATGCAGTGATGTACGCAGCATGGGTAAGGACTGATAACTTAAAACAAAGAAACTAATCACAAGTTACATGTATTGTGAACTGAAAACCGTTAGATTTTAACCTCCGAAAGTGGCGTGCATTACACCTCCACAATTTGCGTTAAATTACAGTCATTATGCACTAAACTGCTTTTCACTTTTTTGACAGGGTTGTCAATGCTTTTCTAATGAATTAAGCCGATGAAGCAACGAGTTTTCTCTGCGCCTTTCTACGTTCAGTGTTTCAAAGTTGAGAACATTTTAAAAAGCGTGCCAGAGTAATGACTCGTACCCACGTGGGATAGCGTGCTTGTTTCCTATTGGCTGGTTCAGTTGCACGGGTTCTCTACTTCATGCATTTTTTTTTCTTTTTTGTGAAAACAGCAATTAGCGAATTTGGAAAAGGGATGGTTCGTCTTGCTTGAATGTTACGTTGGGACTCAGTCTCGATGTGATTTAGGAAATTTATTTTCTTTTTTGGACCACAGTATTGCCCACAATTAAACTTTGGCCTGGGAAAATGCTGTGAATTGAGTAGGAGGGAGCGGGGGGTCGTCACACTCGCGAGGGAGCTGATAATAACGGATAGGTTTTGTTACTTGAATATTCTACATTTTTCCCTCTCATTCACTAGGTTTTCGATAAGCACCTTCCTCCCTCGTCATCCATTGCCCCTTCTCTCAGCACCGTGATAACGACAACCCCAGAATCGAGGTAAATATAAAGAGCAACTTTTGAAGTACTGCCTCTCTCCCAATATGGGATTCTAATCCAGTCGTGCGCACGTTACCGCCAGCCCCCCAACCCCAGCGTCATACTTTTGTCCCGTTTTCGTAACATGCTGACAATAATCATATGTATTCTTCGAAGAAGCACGGCGCAAGAAACGTCCATTACTATTCACAAAGCGAATCATCTTAAAAAACGATTCAACACAAATTCATTTATCATCTATTTCGTAAAACTGTGGACAATACCTTATTTTTTGCGTCATCGTAAGTAAACATTTGCGAATAAATCTCTCTGTAACACATATTATAGTAAGCAACTTCAAATCCTGATATTCAACATAACTTCACTGGCTTTAACAATATCATAGGTTATCTAATAAATGAAAATATAACCACATGGTGCGAGACAAGTCATCTTCGTAACCTTGAAGATAATACATATTTCCCACTGAAGCCTTTTACAAAATTAATTAATGTGTGTATATACATATGTGTATATATATATATATACACTTGTTTTCAAAAGCGTTGCAAATTTTATATGCATCAAATTTATAGACCTATTTCTAAATTTTTGAACAGGTGTATATATATATATATATATATATATATATATATGTGTGTGTGTGTATATATATACATATACATACATATATATATATACACACATATATATACATATACATGTATATATATACACATACATATACATTTATATATTTACTTACATATCTTAACTTTTCCCACCGAGAAATCCAATGATATAGCGCATACAGTTTTCTGACGCGCGTGAGCAAAAAGGCATCACAAGGCCAACGTCAGCTTTCGAGCCTAGGAACGCCAACATCGTCCTCTAGGTCCCGTCTCTCTTGGTCTTTTTTGAGGGAGGACGAGAAAGGACCCAGGGAACGAGGTTCAAAAAGAGCAAGGTAGAATGGAATCTATTTGTTTTAAAATGATCATCCTGGACAGAGAGAGACCTCATGAGAACAAAACCTTTCGATTTGGAGTCCAACGCGTTTGCAATACGCCTCTCTAGGCTCTCACAAAATAACTATATCAATATGTTAATTAATTTTCAGAAAGCTTTAAACCTTACTTCCGTGACACTATGATTCAACCCTTTGATTTAATAAGGGAGTTTATGACTATAAATTTAACGAAATCATCCCAAAACAAGACTTCTCCCCAATGCAACAAATTGTTTTATAAGTAACATATAAAGCCAGCCGATGAATCTAACTACTCCACATGTAAGAACTGAAAAACAAACAAGCTACAGCTGCTGAAATGTACAAAGTGACAATTTGTCACAACATGATCTGAGTGAGAAGAAACCTGTTTGAAAACAAACTATTTTGGCATCCCAGTTGACGCTAGCTAGCTTGACTTTGGGGTTAGATTTATTTCAGTGGCCTGAAACCTGTACAGCCATAGACATGTACGTTTACGCTTCGTCCACGAAGGAAAGGAGCCATCCCGAGGGCAATGTTTCAGTGATTCGAATTCGTATTAAAAGAGTATGACGTAAGTGGCTGTACTGCCGTCTCTCCATGTAGGGTCTGCCACTACCTTGGCTCGGCACATCGGACACGTACGCTCTCGGTCAAACCAAAGGGATATGCAGTCCTCACAGAATATGTGCTGTTTGGGTAGGAACAAAAATTGGCAAATACAAATTAAAAGAGCGGACATCAAGGAACCAAAGCTGGTTTGGGTTGGCAAACTAGAGTGCATTTCGATTGAAAAAAAATAAACCAAAGTTATCTCACCGACAAATCAGGAACAGGAAAAATATCCTGGGGAGTCAATGTAAACTTAAAGTAAAAGCAACGAACTGCCTAAAGCGCGGGAAAACACGAGCGACCGCGTCGCACTTGCTTTTAGTTGTGAATCTGATTGGTTGAGAAAGTGGCGCGAGTTTTCTGGACCAATAACAGAGTGAAGTAAAGCAAAACCAAAGCAATGCCAGATCACTTTTCACACTTTTAAGAGAGATTTGACTTCAGCAACAAGCAGTCTCTCATACAGAAGGCAAGGTCAAGGAGCAGAAGGGGAGATGGCGGGGGTTAAGTGGTGCTGATAAGAGATTGACCACAATTCTTTTTCGCCATGACTGATGTCACAAAGAGCCCTCATCCACTGAAGAAGAGTTATGGCTAATCCTGGACATAGGAGAGTTGCAAATGGATTAATAGTTAACCACTGATGTCAGTAATACAGCACCTTGCATGCACGGAGCTTGATTGGATCCTTTAGCTCTTCCTGACAAATTGGACACGAGTTTCCCGCCTCTACTGTTTCTTCCTTAGAAGGGGGTGAACCGTATTGCTGTACAAAAAACGTAAGGAAACAAAAGTTGAAAGAAGGTGATACACCAACAAACATTTTGGGAACCTCTGTCATTAAAACAGTCGAAACAGAACGTTCTTTAGACCTCAGAGATTGAATAAGTCCCTGATTACCATGAAAAATTCTGTGTCTAACTAACTTTCTGTCACCTTCAAAATGTTTGTACTCAGACATGGAACCTTCATGAAGCATATTCTGTTGTTGCTTTACCCCATTCTCCTAGTTCTATATATATACAATTCTTGATGAAAACCCTATTGTCACTAGGCCCTGTCTGATTATTTAAGTGGAACTATAAAAATATATTGAACGTCTCTTACCACATCATGGCCAAAAACTTTGCATGCAGCATACACTTCTTGAATTTTGTTGATAATCATACGAGCCTGAGTAAGATAAAGCACATTCTTAAACCCTATACAATCTGGTACACGCAACGCATCTTAAATTGTGTGGAGCAGTTATTCCTACCTTGAGTAGCAAGTATAATGTTGTTGCTATGACAGCAAAGTACTCTCCTCCATAGTTGTATTCCGTGAAAAAGGCAAACCACAGTGGAATGGGTACCAGCATGCGGTACAAATGCGAGAAATTTTCTATCAACAGGTAATACTTGCCCTGTGAATTTTAATAAAGAGAACCATGTCAACATGTCTCAAAAAGCTATTTGCATGACCATCATATCCACAAACTTTCCTTGATTCATTTTGAGCTCTGGAAGGTATAATTTGATGGGAATGGAACGGAAAATCTGACCAGAAAAGTTTGAAAGCCTGCCACATTGACACCATTTTGTCCATTTTTATGATTTGTAGTGAACACACTAACTGATGCCTTTCAAGTAAGATTTAAGCACAAAAGAAAAATGGGTTAAGTTTCTTGAGAAACTGTGGTGCTGTGTCAGTGGGAGAGTATAACAAGGTATTTTGATTAAACTGAGTTGACCTTTTGAATGATAGCCCTTTGCTCTGACAAAGGGCTAACACCTGAAACATTAGCTTTGAAACACTTTATGATGTCCAATTTACATTATCAACTCAGTTGATAAAATCAAATTACCCTACATGTACAAAAGACAGATTCTGATGAGTTCATTGATCCTCTCACGATAGAGGAAGTTTGGAGACAAAATTCTTCTTAGTAGGGAAGATGGGGGAGAAGCCTCTCTCAAGTGAGACAATCACTCAGCATGGGCAGTGTGGAGAGGCTCAGGTGTCAATTCATTAATTTAAATTATTATTGTTTAGCTTGTCCTGCAACTGAAAAAAAGAGAACTGGCTGACAATTATGACGTGAACTGGTATTTCGGATTACAGCAACTGCACGTAGCACATGAAAGATTTGTGACAGTTTATCCACCCCTCTATGGCAAAACCTAAATTAACAATTTGACAGCCTGTCTGTTAGTTGTCAAATTGACTATTAGTATTAACATATGAAAAGGTGACTTGATGAAATATTTACCCTTCGACGAAATGGGATTATCTTTCTGTGTTGCACAACCACCATGGATTTTAAGGCCATTGTAATAAATCGAATCACAAAATCTATGAAAGGAAAAATGTTAAAATCATCAGCTGAATTTTTTAAGGAATGAATTCAACCAGCAAATAGCTTTACAAATGTACTCTGGTAACATACCAGTTATACCCACGCACCAAAACACAGTCCACACATCCATTCTACTGAAGAATGGCTTCCTAAAAATTAAACTGCAGACAAAAATATCTGTTATTATGATGTTAACTTGATACAGTGAATATCTCAACCAATAACTTGTAATTATTGTTGCCATCATTCAACATTCAAATTTAAGTGCTGCATACACATACATGCTATTCAAATGATGGAAACGTACCAGTTTTCTAAGTGTTGGTTGTAAAACACATAGTAAATAAAGAACACATTCCCAGACAGAAAAATGAAAGTCCACAATGATATACGGTTTAGTCGTCTGTCCTGGAAAATCAAAACAGTTGTATAAGGAGTAAAATGTCATATGAAACAAATATATCAGAGTTTTTGTATATTAATTCTTAAGTTGCCATCTACAAGCTCGTATTCTTAACCCTTTACTCCAAAGATCTCACCACAAATTCTCCCAACTGTATATCATACAATTCTTATTATGTGAGTATGGAAAATTTGGTATTGGATCAACTAATAATCCCTTAATTAATATTTTTCTTTATTCTCATCATTTGCCTGCATGATATTGTATTTATATTATAAGGGGAAATATTAACCAATCTAGACATTGGCAGAAAAGATCTTTTTCCACATTTACATACTCTCGTCTAAACATGGTAAGGTGGATTTGGGGGAAGAATGGTTAAGATGAGGTAGAGACACATATACAAACCACAAACACAGTAAACCTTCTCCTAGTCAACCACGTACTGTGATTTGCATCTAAGTGAAGTGCAATTCTTGAGATTTGCTTACCATAGAAAAAAAAAGGTTACCCGTGATGACATGGCGATTTTATCGTCAAAACCCCGTCTTAAACTTATTTGCTCCTCACACAACTGATAATCGTGGTAACTCGACTGAATTCTAAGAAAATAGTATAAATACTGTGTGGATGTGTATGAAACCGTTTTTCTTTTTCCTATTTTTGTGAGTAGTTCCACAAAGATCTAGAGCCTAAATCAGTTAATGAGGTTGAGCATTCTGACAACACTCCTCAGTAACTGCTAAATCGATGACGGAAGTTGGACCTAAAAACGAAAGTTGTACGTTTATTTTCAGGCTTTACCTTTAAAGACACTTGTCTTTTGACAGTGCTGTTGGCATGAAGAAATGTCCCACATAAGCCGATGAACACCAGAATACCTTCAATTAGAGAAATCAACGATTACCACCTTTCAAGCCATTTCCTTATTAAGTCAGCAACAAAAATTCGATACGCAAAGGAAATTCAAAACACGATAATTTAATGCAACGGGGTAAAACAAAGTCTAGATCACCAACCTAGTCGATGATCCCACATAATTCTACTCAGAAGTAAAATCACAAACGGAAGGCTTTTTTCCAACCACGAAATTGTTCCCTGAAATTCTACTCTGTCGCCTGCAGCGCGGCCACTGCCGTTACCAGAGGAATTGGAGTTTCCCGGCGCCATGTTTGCATCGCCATGTTCAGCGTCTGCTTCGCTCGAATTACCAGAATTTACGTTAACAGCGGTAAAATTAGACATCCTGTTCGTTCCTGTGTCTTCTTCATCATTTGCGTCTCTAAGAACCTCGGCTATGTTCACGTAAGATGAAGGGGAGAGAGGAGAGAGAGGTGAACTAGCCGACGATCGAGATCCTGGACTGCGATGACCGAAACTGGGAACAAACTCCCGAATAACGGATCTGATCGGGTTCAGAGGCGCCAGAGTGATTTGTCCATTCCCTGAAGTATATGACCACGAAGCTGACCGAGAATGGCTTCTTTGATGGAAGGTAGACGGTGTCCTCGAACCGGGAGAATAGGCATTATGATCAGCCGCCATGTTTTGGAGTGACGACTGTTTTCCTTGGACATTTCGCATTATCGTGGAATGAAGCAATGTTTTCCACTGAAAAGACCGCTGGATATTTCTCTTCGCAGGTCACCCACTCCCAGTCCCTCAACTGGTGTGGCTAACACGTTCAAATGCCTCAAAGCGTTTCTTTCTTCAGCAAATAATGGTGACTATTTTTGAAATGGGGGTAATTTGAGATGGGTGAAATTCTAAGGCATTTTCTCAGGAGTTAATATGATAGCTTTTAAGTTTTTTTTTCGTAATTCATAAAAAAACGTGTCACGAAGATTACCTTGAAAAACGAAGGCTAAATTTTAGGTTGCACAAATCGTGCTGGAATGCCAATCATAGAGAGTAATTTATGCGAGCAAGAAGCCTTTGTACATTAGACGAGAACACCGTACGTCATCAGTGGAATATATTGTAAACATACATATGTCTCCTGCAAACATCTCACCAACAGACCATGAGTCGTAATGGGAAACTGCATAAATGCTAGTTGAGTTGACCGTTTGCCACTATTAAATCAGGGTGCATATTTTCCATACTCTTCTCTGAACATTTCAAAGGTTCTGACATACATAATTTCTTTAAAAACCATGAGCTTCTTTAGTAGTTGCTCAATTCCATTATTCTCGTGATCCTAACGTAGGATTCAGGGGTGATATTGTAAGGAGAAATTCGAAATTTGTCAATCATAGGGGTCAAAGGAATAAAACTTTTTAACATCTGAGGGGATAACATTTTTTTTTTCGTGTTGAGAACTGTTTTGTATAATAATGACAGAAATTGGAATAGTTCTTCTGCGAGTCTTGTTTACGTTCAGGCGGGTCACTACTCTCGTTGATCTTCACCCTTTAACTCCCAAGATCTCATTAGTAATTCTCTTTACTGTCTGCCGTACAATTCCTATGATTTCAATTTGGAGAATTTGGTATTGGATCAACTAATAATCCCCCAAATTGATACTTTACTTTATTCTCATCACTTCTATGCTTGATATTGTATTGATACTGTAAGGAGAAATTCTCTCTTGGTCACTCATGGGAGGTAAAGGGTTAAAGGTACCACATTAAAAGTTAGACGTTTCTGATTTGCTAGAGGACTATTAATTATAAGGAATCGAGTTTGATGGGTTGACTAGCAATCTGATTGTTATAACGTGATGAGTGCAAGTGATTCACCGACACACAAGGGCATGATATGTGCGGGTGAGTCACTGTTGAGCGTTGCGTGATGTGGGAAAGCGAGTAACTGATGTATGGTACGTGATGTACATGTAGGATACGTGACGTGTATGCAAGTGAGTCACCGATGTATGAAGCGTGATACGTGCGTTTCAGTCTCCGTTGAGCGTTGCACGATGTGTGAAAGTGAGTCACTGATGTGTTATGTGGGACCTATGCAACCAAGTCACTGATGCGGGATGCGTAATGTACGTAGGCAAGACAGCGTCACGCGTGCAAATGCGTGACTAAGTTGACGACCATGACGTCTCGATACTTCGTCGTCTCATGGATCAAAGGAAAGGACCACTCAAAATACGTGTAGAATTAGGTGTTACGTGTAAAACAAGCAAGTAACCTCGAGAGAAGGATAATAACGACACGCCAAGTTTATTTATTTTCTCGCAGAAAACAGAGATGTATCTTCTAATTGACAAATGTTTCATTTAGTTTTCCTGCCCTGTCACTAAAACCATGGATGACAAAACGTGATAATTTATCACCTGACTCTTCCTCAGCTAAAGCATTTTGAAATATCGTAAAGAAATCACTTTCATTGTAGGACTAAACATTTTAAACTGAATTGAAATGAATTTAGAAAAGAGATGTAAATTCTCCGAAGGAAGCATTCTTTTTCCTTCTTGCCGAGATTTGGAAATGCAATCATGGCAGTCCACTGGTTTTGGCGGTTTTCATATTCTGAAAAAAAGAAATCAAGAAATCTCTCAAAACTTGTTTTAGTGTTAAAAAACAGACCTAGAACCACGTAAAATATTCTTTATTGATATCGTCGTTTGTACCTACCCGTGATCACATGTACAAGACCAAAAAAAGTTTTGAAAAATAGTAGAATTCTGGATTTTTGTCAATCTCTTGTCGGGCATTAGCCGGGTGATCCTTCGCCATCTCTTACCTCCCATCTCCCTCATCAATACAAGAGTGGCGCAAGTCTTACTACGCCCTACAACTTGTTGAATTTTTTCTATAACTCTCATTTATAACCCTCTTTCCCCCATTCCTTGGTTGCCTGGTGTTAACAAAATGCTCGCTAATATCAAACAAAGTTGTTTGGGAGGAGGAGTGCGGCGGGGGGGGGACCTTCAAGTAACTTGTTACAGATGAATTGCAGGATTTCTGTTTATTGTTTTGAGTGGAGGGTTGTCGAATGCCTGGTAAGGAGAAGCGTGCCAACTACTTTTGCCTCTCATTGTAGATATGTATCCGAACGGAACGAGTCTTAGAGGTAGGTCAGTTCAGAAAACCAATGTATTCAACTCAAATGGGAAATGGTGTTCTACCGAAAGATGAGGATTGAAATAACTCCAGCTTGCGTCTCGCTCAACTCACTCACCATGAGCGCCAATTAGTTGGGTGATATCTATCCCTCGCTCACCTTTGATCTCGCTAGGGGGTTGTAAGCTTACAAGGGTTAAAACGATTACGGTATCATCATTGAAAATGGAATTTAGCTGTGTATGTACAACGTTGCCTTTTATTTCTCTCGAGCAGTTTCCAACTGAGTGTAAAAAAATGATGCGAGATTAGTTCGGTTTTACTCTGGTTTGCCCCATGATTGGTCTAGGAAACTCGCGCCACTTTCTAAACCAATCAGATTCAAAACTGAAACCAATCTCGACTTAATCGCCGCGTTTTCCCGCGCTTTAGACAGTTTGGTTGTTTTTGGTTTTCCTTTTTTTCACCTCATGATTGGTCCACAGAATTCGTGCCACTTTCTGAACCAATCAGATTCAAAATCAAAACCAATCTCGACTTGGTCGCTGGCGTCTTTCCGCGCTCTAAGCAGTTTGGTGTTTACCCTCATATTTCCTTTACAACGATTAGCTGGCATTATGGCTTTGATAATACGACATCCAATGAGGTTCAGCTGGGTTACTAATCATGAGCAATGTTGGTTGAGACACCATATCATTGTTACCAAATTCTAATCTGTCATTACTCACCAAGGTCCCACTGGTTCAAAAACATTCTGACCAAACACTCCGAGAATGTTCCCCTGTGGATAATACCGAGCCACTATATAGGTTTGAATTGCGCCCGATGCATCCGGCCCTATGGTGGCAAGGCCCGCTCCGACACTTGTGGTCGCATTCCAAACAACCTGACAGAAAAGAAACAAACAAACGAAGAAATCACATATTATCATTAAAAAAGAATTGAAAATGGGAGTCACTGTTTTTTTAATTAATTTTTGAATTTTGTTTTGAATTTAGTTAAGCTATAAGTAAGGGAGTGTTTGTTGGAATACCTTCGTTTTGGCAACCTATCATTTCGAGATGGTTATCATGAGATGTTTGAATATTTACGTATTTAATCTATTCTATTTGTTATTACTATTATTAGGACTGAGTTATGACTGAAAACTTTCACAGGAGGGCTTGGTCTGCTTAATTCACCCAAGACGCTTCAGAGCAGAAAACACAAAGCTGAATAAGTAATTATTTCCCAAAACAGTTCGCGGTTAGTCATCGTGGTAAATGCTCTTGTATACGAAGTGAGATCGTTTATCTCACGATTTTATCTCTTAACGAGTGCATACTGTAAATCTTCTACAGGCGAGAAGGTTGAACTCTTTTATTAGCTGGATTCTCTGCTCGCCAGTTTCTCCCGCCCTTCAGGTCACATGGTCTCCGTGACTCGGAATGTTTTGCGTAATGGCGGTCGTTTGGTTGTTTTGTCATCGATAAGAACGTTGTTAATCGCATGCTGTTGCACTGCATATTCAATAAAAATAACGAGGTCTGCAGTAATAAACATGGAGAAATTTACATCAGAGGAACTTTAGTCCTCTGGTCCTCACACCTCGGATTTATTACCCAAGTGCGAAGCGTGCAGGCCATAATATTCGAGCAAAAGATAAACAGGCTCCGTAACTGAAAGCACGGACCGATACAACGAAGTTATATAGTCACTAATCACATCTCATGGGTTCAAACAGAGAAGTTAAGATTCCAATTCAAACAGAACGGGGTCGTACAGTGAACTAAGGCCAGCTAAATTGACCAATCATAGAGAAAGTACTAACTAAGAGGTATGATAAAAGTACTTATTTATTTTTGGAACTTTGAGATAAAAACCTGAGTGAAGTGACCAGCTCCCATGTCGAAAAATTCCTGGGGCGTTGTGGGTGGATTCTGAAAGTCATAGAGAGACACCTCACTGTACCTACAAGTATATCGGAAGAATCAGTTAACGGAATAGTAGTACAATGTTAAAATATTTAGTAATATTTAAAAATATCTAGTACAAAGGACAACATAGAGCTATGAACACATTAATATTCGACGAACACTCAACATAAACCTCTATAGAATGTGAGCGTAATTATCTTTTAGTCGGAGAAAAGGCTGAAGTAAACAAAAAACAAAAAAAAGCGATTTAAAGAATATTTTGCAAAAGTTTGGTAAAAAATGCTCGTTGAGAATTACTTTCATGGTTGTTACTGCGACAGTATGCTTGTTTTTTTTTTTTTTTGCGGAGTTCTTACTGGCTTCTCATGAGATTTTCCGTCACTTTGAGTGGCGCGTGATCTTGTAACAACTTACCATGATTCTACAGCTTGTGCACACGTGCCTTGAACTTGTGAAACGGATGCGTACAGATTTTCCCCCTCATCTATATTTCGCTCGTGCTGCAAATCATTAATTGACACCAAGTATTCTGCCCATTCTTGCGCATGTTGAGCTAGCGTAGAATTCCAGATCAGCGCTGATGTCCCATGAAGAGCACGCTTGTCATTATGAGCTTGCAGACAGGCATCTTTTTCATAAGTGAAAAAAAAATTTAACGACTTTTATTAAAATTAGGCACAAAATCGTGAAAGCCATCAAACTGAATTAAGATCACGCAGAGCTGACGTTAAGCGATGTTAGACTGAGACTACTTGGACCGCATAGAGGAAAAGGCCTGCAAGTAACTGACGGAGAGGATTTATCTGATTAGCCTCTCAAAACACGCAAAAAGTTTTCTTTACTTAAGCTTTGACAAAACCTTCGACTGTCATCAGTTTAAATACAATATAAATTAAAGCATGAAATTTAGAAAGTACGACTTTGCCACACCACTCTTTTTAAATACATTTAGGTTCGTGTTAAAGGAAAGTAGGTTATCATCAGTGTGACCAGAATCAAACAAACAAAAAAACACCAATAAGCAAGTGACCATATACCCTCTGCAACAGTTGTCGCAGCCTCCGTCGTTGCTTCCATGGTCGTGGTAGCCTCCGTCGTTGGTGCCATGGTTGTGGTAGCCTCCGTCGTTGGTGCCATGGTCGTGTTAGCCTCAGTCGTTGGTTCCATGGTCGTGTTAGCCTCAGTCGTTGCTTCCATGGTCGTGGTGGCCTCAGTCGTTGGTGCCATGGTTGTAGTGGCCTCCGTCGTTGGTGCCATGGTCGTGTTAGCCTCAGTCGTTGGTTCCATGGTCGTGTTAGCCTCAGTCGTTGGTTCCATGGTCGTGTTAGCCTCAGTCGTTGCTTCCATGGTCGTGGTAGCCTCAGTCGTTGGAGCCATGGTCGTGGTAGCCTCAGTCGTCGGTGCCATGGTCGTGGTAGCCTCAGTCGTTGGTGCCATGGTCGTGGTAGCCTCAGTCGTTGGTGCCATGGTCGTGGTAGCCTCAGTCGTCGGTGCCATGGTCGTGGTAGCCTCAGTCGTCGGTGCCATGGTCGTGGTAGCCTCAGTCGTCGGTGCCATGGTCGTGGTAGCCTCAGTCGTCAGTGCCATGGTCGTGGTAGCCTCAGTCGTCGGTGCCATGGTCGTGGTAGCCTCAGTCGTCGGTGCCATGGTCGTGGTAGCCTCAGTCGTCGGTGCCATGGTCGTGGTAGCCTCAGTCGTCGGTGCCATGGTCGTGGTAGCCTCAGTCGTTGATGCCATGGTCGTGGTAGCCTCAGTCGTTGATGCCATGGTCGTGGTAGCCTCAGTCGTCGGTGCCATGGTCGTGGTAGCCTCAGTCGTTGATGCCATGGTCGTGGTAGCCTCAGTCGTCGGTGCCATGGTCGTGGTAGCCTCAGTCGTTGGTGCCATGGTCGTGGTAGCCTCAGTAGTTAGTGCGATGGTAGTGGTAGCCTCAGTCGTCGTTGGTGGCATGGTTGTTGTAGCTTATCATATATAATTAAAAATACAGAGAAACAAAAAGTTTATGATTAAACTCAGTATAAAAGTAGTGTCTTAGAGGTTCACGTTATATATAGGCAAAGACCTGGATTACTTTCCTTTTCAGGAAAGGAACATGTATGCCAACTACTTCTTGCAAAATGGCCAGAACCTGGACAAGTTAGGATGCATCCTAGAGGTATTGCAAGACAATTGTCACAGGTTCCCTTAGCAATTTCAGAAAAATAACGGGAAACCAGATAATTTAAAACCAGTCAGATAAACAGAATGCTCGGTAAATTAGTACCTCTCTTGTGTGTAACTTGTGATGAATTCAACCGAGTGACGGTGCACCCATTTTGTTGGTTTTTGAACTGATCCCTAAAATGGAGTCGAACTCAAGCTTCCTGATCATTTGCCTCTTCTAAGTTAAACGACAAAAAACTAAAATTTTCAACTTACGAATACAATTTCCACATGTTGCGTTGCAGTTTACGGCTAAAAAGTCACGAAGAAAGCTGTCAGGCCCACAGAGACCCAAGGCCAGATAGGCCTCGCAGCTCTCCAATGTGTCTGCAAGGCATACTGAAAAATGAAAGAAATAATTCGTTAAAATCCTCGTTCCTCACAAACTTGCGTGTAAAATATACAATAGCAAAACTTTGCAAAGGTCACGCCTCAAAGATGGCTTCTTGTGTTCATGGATGGAGCCCAATCAGGGTGGTGATTTACTCCGTGTAAGGTAATGTGTGTCGGTCTTATATTCTGGATTCCACGCTGTGTATTCCGAATCCCAGGTTCTAAAGTCCGGACTCCGTCCTACTAGATTCTGAATTCCATGAGGTTGGATATTATTTTTATTTCGCAAAAATCCTTGCTTTTGCGCGCCTCGCACCTTACGAAGGACTAACCGAGAGAGAGAGAGAGAGAGAGAGAGAGAGAGAGAGACAAGGAAGGAAACAATGTATTTGGTGGATGTGAGATAAGAGGGTATGGCTCCTTTATGGCTTGAGAGACAATCAGCGGACAAGAACATAGTTTGATCTTTCTTTTTTTTTTTTTTTTTTTTTTAAAAAAAGAAGACCCACTTGGTGGAGCAGTGGTCGGTGGTGAAGTGGTCGGTGGACCTGAAACAAATACAAAATATCAAAAGTTTGAGTGAAGGGTAAGCTTACCCAAGAGTCAAAACTTTTCATACAAAAAAAAGTTTGGGTTGCAATTTTAGAAGCTTAAAACACGACGTAAGAAGATTAGACTGAATGTAGTAATTTGCGGCAGACCGTTTTAAAACATTAGGAAGTTCAAGAAGCCGAGTGTATATCCCCCCCCATCACCCAATCTTCCCAAAATTTCTTCCACATAGCTCCTAGTAATTCATGACTTGTGTGTCTGCAATCAATTTGAGACGATGGAAAGGCAGGCAGAGGTCCAAGAAAATACTAAAACGCATCATCACCTGCTCTTATGAAAAGATGACAATGTTGAATATTTTTTAAGACAAGTTAGCGATATATTCTGCACTTAATCGTGGAGGTTTGAGTCCCTCAAAATATTCCTTCGAAGGAGAAAGAAGGGGCTAGAGCCTCCCCTTTCCCGTCTGCTTATACTTTTGCTGAATACAAATTAATTTACTTATATACAAATCTTGACCCCAGCTGGATTTGCGTTAAATTAACCAAGCTCGGGGTCTCTATTCATGTTACTAGCTGAGTTTGGATAAGTGCTCTCTTACTATATAACATAAAATTTACCATTAGAGAAATCGAATAATGGCAACAATGGTACACTAGGTTCAGAACTCTTCAAAGCGAAAATGTATCGGTTTAATAAAACTCCTTCCTATTCCACTTACGTTGACAAAATCCACAGGAGAAAAAGCAATTCTGAAGTGCAAAGCTAAAAAACAAGGAATCTGGCTCGCAGAACCCGAATTCCACATAAGATTCACAGCTATTTAGCTCGTTAAGTTGAGCAGGGGTACATACTGAGGAGAGAGAAATTAGATTCATGGTCAGTAAATGCAATCCATTTTTCATATCAGTTTCTAAGGGAGTTTCCAATCCAGATCAGTGCTAGATGGGAACAACCAAGACTTAGTCACCCTCGTTTTACCTCCGATGAATGCGAAAATGTTAATACCTGGGACGAATTAATGACGCACACCAAAGCGAGACATTCCTACTTGTTCTAAAACTGCTTCTTAGGGCCTGTTTTCATGGAGCTGGGGGACCCCGGGTTAGTAAGGTAACCCGCCTAGCTGTGGTCGAAAAAAGAAACGCGTTTACGTACAATCTTACAACCCCGAAGTGCTGGGGTGAGGTTTCTTGAGGTTGTTGTTGCGCTTGTTGAGCAGAGGTGTCATACACGTGAGGAACTGTTGACTTAATACGTTATACAGAATATTTTGGGAAACGAAATATGGTCGATTTACAACGCTAAATATTCCAAAATGTGAACAAGTTACACTCCTTGTGTGTCCGTTGCGGTTTCTGGTGATTCCTTCCATGAGACGGCAAGGAAATGTACAAAGTTTTAAAACATACATGTTTCGCTTTTGAGCTTTTTGCATGAACGCGACCCCGGCTAGGCGGGTTACCCCACCTTGAGACGTTTACATGGTAAATTGTGTCACCCCGGCTGACAGGGATACCCCACCTAGCAGACCGGGCAACACGCCTAGGCGGGTCACCCCACCTATCATGTAAACGTGATCAAGATAAAATAAGAAATTATATGGACAGGTGGGTTACCCTACTTAAGCGGGTTACCTCACCTACCTGGGGTCCCCCACCTCCATATAACAGGCCCTTAATGTTACCCTGGAATTTAATTAAATGGCAATTTTTAATACTAAAGAATGAATCAGGAAGGACATTTACACATTTCCGAAACAAATAGCTTCTTTTTGGCTGATGCAATTCCTGGAATTATACACTGATTTGGTTAAACATTTCAAAGTAGAACGGAGCACATTAAAACGCACAACAGTTCGATGTCTTTATGGTATCATTGTTAAGTGGAAAAGACAGCAAGAGTATTTCAGTTGACTCCCTAACTTTTAACAATCACAGAAGCTAATCAGCAATGATTAATATATACCAGATACCACTTCTCTTCTTTCACTTATTGCACGACCCGGAAAATCTACTTGCATCATATCAGCTTAGCTGTTTTTATTCATTTCCACTCGACAATGGTATCATGGCAATATCAAAGCGTTGTGCTTTTTTAAAATATTTGTTTCTTGTGTGCATTTATATTAATAAATGCAATCCTAAAACTTACTTGGTAGTGTAGGGACCGCAAGCTCCACTGTAAACAAGAAAAAAGTTGTATTAAAAAAAATCATTTAACTCTTTATATCGAAAAACACGGTTAAGTGACATTACATGAGGGGTATGTCTAGGCACCCGCACGCCCTTTTTTTATTTACCGCATTATATTTGTTTTTATTAGGCAAATATCAGAAGGGACGTGGTAATGAGTGATCCAAGGTAAACCTTAAGGATGGGGTGTTTTCAAATTTTGTTTTGCTTTTTCTCAGCTTTTTCCGAATTAAATGTTCTGTAAGTGTTTACTTACTGGAACTTTTATTGAAGTGGCAATGGTAAAAGAATTATCATTTTGGGTGGGGTTCTTCGAAATACATGGCTTACACTCGGTATGCTATTCGTAAGCGACAATCATTGTCGCTTACGAATAGCTGGACCTGTACTCAGGGAGAGGGCTGGGACTGGAGTGAGCTTTGAGGAAACATAAGGATTTTTTCGGTATCTATAGAAAGGGTCTACCGATAAAGCTCACACAGCTAACGTCTCTTAAAAAAACTTACCTTGACGTCTCACTCTGAGTTCCGCCGGCAATGGACCAGCATAGCAGGCGACATGAAACGTGATTAGAACAAAAGCCGTGAGGACGTGCATTTTCCTGAAAAAGATTACAAGAAAACCTTTCGAATTAGCGCTTACATGAAGGAAAAAGGCGTCTTTCAGGAGATTATATTACACTGTGAGACATCTAGATAGAAGAAAAATCTAAAAAAAATTTAATCTCAGCTGTTCTGGTTTTGTTTGCTCAAAATTCAAAAGCTACATTCAGAGAGTCTTCCATGTTATATGCTGTCCAAATTAACATCAGCTCATTAAAACTTTCCATATTAAATAAATTACGAATATCCATTCATTAACGTGATTTTGCAAACAAAAGAATCTTTATTATGTTGGCTAATTAACGTTCAGGCCCTTGTTGTTTTTTTTGCTCACCTCTACGATCAAATATTTATCTCTTAAGAAAATATTAGTTTACATCCTTCACTGATATTTGAGAACCTTCTGGTCAAAAGTTGGAGTGAGAAAATAATTTGGTTTTTTTTTTTTTTTTTTCGCTTCTACCTCTAAAACAAAGTGCATGATTCGCTAACAGGATGATACAACTCACTAGTGGGTTTTTATGATGAAGAAGACTTAAAAGACTGTTCTAATTTTCAGTCAGAAGAATTCCATGAAATGTTGAAGCACTTAAGTTCAAAGCCAATTATATTTATGCAAAGTTAGCAAAGAACAAACAAGGTTGATTCTAAAAAATTTCTGGCCGATTTTAAATTTATCCACCGTATTTGCACGAACCAAAACATCATATGGTCGGCATTGATAATGATTAGCAAGAAGCTTTGCGATCTTTAGAAATTTTTATTCTATTTGAGCGTATTGACCTGGCGGTGGAGAAAGATTGACTCATTATCCATAAACATTTCTGAATTTATTTCAGCCGTAAAAATCTTAGAGTTCAGTTTGAAGCATCACCCAAAGTTATTATTCTACGCCTATACTAATTATTCCGTAATCATAACGGTCCCAAGCTGTTTATGTGCTTTCTATTTACATACTTCAAATGCTAGAGATCACAACATTGAATTGAAACCCACAATGATTTTGCTGTGTTGGAAATATAGTGAGACCAACATTTTGCTATGCCAAGTTTAACCAGGTAATCAGAAATAGACTCTACTGAAAAAGATAACAAATGGCTCACTAACCTTACCTTTAAGTAAAGTCCACTTGATAGAACTTTCTCTCTGGGAAGACGCTACTGAATGCCAATACTCCAAGGTATATACGAGTTTCATAGCATTATATTAATATTAGCAACAGATACCATCGACATCACGTCGGCGCCCATGAAAAATACGTTGCTAAATATTAAATATTGAACTAAGCTGCCTAAAAGGAAAAAAACCCGACGAAAGCCTCTATTTGCAGGTTTTGGTTTAAAACATGCAAAAGAAAACCAGCAGCATTTGCTCAAAAACATTGTTTTGCCAAAGGGCTTCAGAGGTTCATTTAATCCAGCTACAAATATCTCTCTTTATGGCATATTGGCTTCGATTACAAAAGGTTGTCAGTCTTGAATGAGAATTTTTGAAGTAAGTTGATTCAAGTAGCCGATTAGTTTTCTAGACTCGGATGTGGTTGCAGACCACAAGTTGATGTTATTCAGCGAGGGCAGTGCAAAAAACAGAGCTTTGTTCCAGCTTTGATTAAATGAAAAGAAATACATATATTCCAAATACCATTAAATTTTTTCGATACAACTGAGACTGAGAGGAAAATTTTGACCTACGTGAATTGATTTTTAATTTAAAGATGTTTTCATTTAGTTACAGAGTCCAGTATATTTATTCGAATGATTGTCAAAGAACAGCAAAAGGCAGAAATTTACAGCCATGACAAAGTACACAGACATGTCCAACGTGTCTGAATTTTAAACATTTCCGGAGCCTCGGTGAGTTCAATATAAAGCCACAAAAATTTATGTATTTATCAATAAATAAACTTGTCTGTGGCCGTTTTCATGATATAAAAAGAGATATATATATAATTCATTCATCTATTTCAGCGGTTTTTTTTTTGTCCAAAAACCCTCCATGTGATTACATCGGATGCTCTGCGTTATAACTGAGCAGTAGGTTTCAGTCCTTGAGTCCTCGCTCTTAGACTGTTTCTCCCGTCAAAATAGAGGGTTGGAACTGGTTGAATACAAAAATGGGAAATTTAATTGGTAGATAAACATGGTTTAATTCATTGTTCGCTCACCAGAAATAGGAAATTGGACAAAAAAACAAAGGTTTCAGCTTTTATATTTCTCACTCGTGTTCAATACTTTGCATAATCGTCTTTCGTTCCGTGTGCCGTTTGCAGAGAGTTATCGGTGTTTACCTCATACTATGTTTTTCGATTGAGTGTCGTAAAACCAAAACCAAAGTAATCACAACAGTTCTAATCAGAAGAAAGGAAAATATCTTTAAGAACTCATGACCACTCAAAGTAAAACCGACCAAACTCAATAAAGCCCGGGATCTCGCGGGCGACCAAGTGGTGATTGGTTTTAGTTTGCACCTGATTGGTTGAGAGAGTGGCGCGAGTTTTCTGGGCCAATTACAGACCGAAGTGAATCAAAACAAAAAACAGTCCCGTATTACTTTCGACACGCTCTATTACCCGACAAATATCTTTCGAGGTAAGAAAGAAACCGAGCAATTAAATAACCGACCATTAATACCAGCAACTGAATGAAGATACAGCTTTATAATTAGAACGGATCAGAACGGGGCAAGGTAAAGACAATCCTGGAACAAAAAGTGATTTCTTATTGGAAAGGGTTTGAGTCATGAAAATATCACAACATGGAATGACAAAAGAACTCTTCAAAGATTTTTTATCATTCAATACCATATTTATTGATTGGCTGTATTTCTTTATTGTCCTTATTGTTCAACAATGTCCTTCTATGTTATTTCACCTTCGCTGCACTTTCATCATCCTGGTAAAAAAGGAAGAAAACAGAAAGGAAAATTATCCCACAGGCTACAAATCTCTCTAAAAAAATAAGCATTTTAGCATTTTTGTGAGACTTTTGTTTCATACAACAAGGCATTCCGCGTTTTAGGGTATTCCGTCACTCCGTGTTAAGGATATTCCACCATTCCACCGTTCTGCTATTCCACCGTTCTGTCAGCCAATCTATAATAAACCCAAAGTCCTTGCTTGCTTCGCAAATTTAGGGGCTCTCTCGGGCATTAGTTGCGATTCAAGTGGTAAAATGCTCTTCGAATGAAAAAAAGATCCTCAAAGTCTTCACAATGTGCAGATCACACCTATAGACATATTTCTGTAAGGAAAGGTTTTGTTTTCAATTACACACAATTTAATACTATTATAATATAAAATTTAAGGACTGTTAATTTCAGGGGAATGGCACTGACTGTTACGATGTTAACAAATCTTACCGGGAGGATAACCACTACAGCGGACTCCTCTTGCGAGCTCAAGATTTTCACTAAGAAGTTTATATTTCAGTGATTTTTAGATGGTGGCAAAACGTTTGTACGTGACGCGTGATTAAGCCCAAAATTGATACGTGACCGTGAATCTTAGAAAAAGGCAAGGTAAGGGAGACTTGAAGTTTTCCTTTTTAAGTTCTGAACGCGTATAAAATTGTTAAAGGTACACGTGATACTCATGCGCGAAATGGAATTAGGACCCCCTTCCAATCCCTATTCGGGAGGAGTTTATATTTTTGAGGAGTTAGTCCAAATCAGTTGTGGGTTTATTTTAATATACCGACCTGTTGAATGTGATATACAAAATTGGTCAAATCTCTTCCAACTGCATGTCCGTTTTGGCTATTGAAGAACCAACAATAACCACTTTTTCCATATTTGGAGTAAGTTTTCCCAGCATCCTTTCCACCGAAGCACTCTCCGTAAAACTGAACACTAAAGTACTCATAACCTTTGTGAAAAGCCACACGTGCGCACCGGTTTACCGTCAAATTCATTTTTGTCCAAATTATCTGTGATCGGAAATTGGCGTAATTTACGGGCAGAGCACGATCAGTAATACTGTCATGGTAACATCCAATTGGTTGAAAGCTTGGTAGTGGCTCTACAGAAGAGAGTTTTCGAAAGCGTTATAACACTAGTGAGTGTTAATATTTCTGCAAATGTAACAGTGAAATATCTCCACGGTATACATTTCTAAAAAAGATTAGCAAAGATTGTACCTCTCCATAGGCTTATCATCCATCACTTCATCATTGCCTCTCAAGCCCATATTTTGAATTAGTTAAATAAGTTTTTGTTTACTGCTGATTTGTATTTAGGGACTGGTCACTATTTGTGACCCCCCCCCCTCCCCCCCTCCCCCCCCCGCGATAACTTATGACAGGTCTCTTATTATACGTTATTTTTTCTCTGAGGGTACGGTAACGAATCCTGCAATCTGATTGGTTCTTAGCGCGGTCCGGATCTACTATATTTTCGCAACGTTTCCCGACGCCACTGGCTTTGCTGGCTGTAGATGATTAACAGTAACCTCGGAATTGGCCAGCTTAGACCTTCAATCTCGCTCCTTCCGCGGATATTTTTCTCTGTCTTAACAGACTAGGACATTCCACTAAAGCTTACCTAAGGTGTAAACAAACATGCTGTTTCCCATGCCAATACCATCTCTACAGTACGACCAACCAGTTCCACTGACATAATATTTATCACTAGTATTCGGTCCAGACAAACACAGACCACTTTGGCCCAAGGCAAACAGCTTATAATTTCTTCCATAGGCCAATTTCGCGCACTTCTTGACAACTGCACTCGTGTTTTCCCACTCAATTTCTTTGGTAAAATCATGGAGTACCTCTTGAAGATTATCAGCACCATAGAAACATGCCACTTGAATCTCCGGAGGAGCTTTGAGGAAGAAAAAAAAAGTATATCGGCGGCATTTTCTTACGAGATCATGGTAGTCTTTTTTGGATCAATATCAGCATCTGACTTTAGGGGAGGGGTAGGTACACAATTGCTCACATTGATCGGTTTTTTATTTTTGTATAGACCATTCAAACATTCTTATGAAACCAAAATCGCAACAACGTAACAACGATCACATCAGAAACTTTTTCATAACCAGCTTCTTCTTCATTCACGCAACGTGCTGTATAAAAAATGATATCAGAAGAAATTATTTTTTTTACTCACGATCACAGTGTTTGTCTGTGTTGCAAACAACCTCAGTGAGTGGTTTCATGGCATGATGACATAGTTCTTTCGCAGCCGGTATTATATGACCAGCTTCGTCCGTCCGGATGCACTCCAGCTCCCTTGTCATCAAGCCACCGCCACATGTTCTGGAACACTTAAGAATACCAAAACTATCTTATTGAAGTTGTTCTATGAAGAATCTCAATAAAGAAAAAAAAAAGCAGTAGCTCTCCTTATGAAATTCCTAATTTGACGAAATCGTTCAATGAATATTAGTAATCAAGCGTTGCATCATATATATGTTTATACCTTGGACCAAGGCAGACCCCTCCATTCTGCCGGACATGGCACTTCGTTGCACTGCTGGACGAGAGTAATGTTTGGTTTGGCACTCTCATCACAGAGCCAGTCGCTGATTATCTCGAAATAAGATTCATTAGCTTTTCTTCGACAGTAGACAAGTCGAGAATGACTCCCTTTTCCACAGGTTTTGGAGCACTCGTTCCAATCTGTTTGATGCCACCTTAAAATGGAGAGAATCTGACTATGATTATCACAACTTGAATGCTACATATTGAGCCACGGGTTGGATTAATGCAAGATGTAGGAGCCATCTGTCATATAACTGACCCAAAGCGCGGGAAAATACGAGAAAAAAAGTCAGCCTTCTGGTCGAGAAGGTCTCGCGTCTTGTGAGGTCTTAGCGGAACCAATCGGAGAAAACAGACTGAAATAATCGACGTAAGCAGTCGTTAGAGGGAACACTTACTCTGGCGCGCAGTCATTCTGGTTATCACAGGCAATGTGTGACGCGGGTTTGACTTCGGCGGAACAGGAGTCAACTGATGCAGGAGTACCATCATCAGATCGAACGCAGCTGAGATCCCGGGTTCTGATACCTAAAATTCAGCGCAAAATTGTAATCAAATGTTGATTTAGTGTTTATTTACTATAAGTGCTCTTGCTTGGCCAGATACTAATGATTTTTACGACGTTGTGCAATTCAGAAACTTTATTCCGTGCTCTCCAAGATTACACACACAGAACTATATATCAAGCTAACAAGTTTAGATATCAAAAGAAAAAGACTTTTGTCCAATCTTCAGCTTTAATTAACAATTCCTGTGTTGTCTAACGCAATTCAAACAACAACCGTGAAATAAATTTGTCATAATAACAGAAACAGGACGAGGTGAATGAAATCAAACGCACGCCAAATTGCCTCAATACTCAAACAGACCAAGAGACGCCAGAAACGATACCTTGGCCACAAGTCATTGAGCAAGCAGACCAGATGCCAACGACCCATTCAAAAGAGGCTCTCTGAGCAGTTTCGTTAGATAGTAGTGGTCTGTAGTAGTGAAAATCCACTCCTTGATTTTTTTCATATAGAAAAACAAACTAGAAAGAGAAACAGAGGAAAGACAAAAATCCAGTAGAGACTGATGTATGCAGTCTAACACAGATGCGCATATCTCAGGCAAAACTTTAAGGGTAAAAGCGAACAGTAAAATGCATTCTTTTTTTAACACGAGGAAGTCTATTAATCTGAACAGTTTAACTCCATACAGTATTAAAGTAAGTATCAAAATCCATAAAAAGTTGAGAGTTGACGGTAAATCTACTGAACATGTTCAGGCTCGATTCCACTGTTGTCTCGAGCAGGTTCCTTGGTGCCTTCTTGCAAAGAGCGTGAGGTTATTTTCCAAACAGCTTTTAATCATAATTATCAATAATTGTCTCTAAAGAAAGACGTTTCTCGCCTTGTCACGAGCGTGGGACAGAATTTTTTCTTTGTCCCACGCTCGTGACAAGACGAAAAACATCTTTCTTTATGTCTTTACCGAGCTCAAAACTTACCATCTCTCTTATTTCTATCAATAATTGTCTTTGTCTGTTATATGACTGTGATCTTGCTAAAAACCATCTTATAAGCTTTATGAATTTGACGTTTAGGAATCATCATTACGTTATACATGAAGAGTTTCCAATTACTCTTTTGGTTAAACTTGGTTTTTTTTTATTAACGTGTAATAACATCATTGATTGGAAAAATTATCATACCACAATTTCAATGGGAATTTTTGTGGGCCCAGCTACAAAAATAGAATCATCATATCTGTTGTCTTTATGTTCGTATTCAATTTTTGTCCCATTGTAGTAAACAGTTCGACTCCATGAGGGGAGATTTATGATGTATTCGCCTGTATGAGGATCTTTAACACCTGTTTGACGAAGAAAGGAAACATCGATGCTTTTGTAAAATATTAAAGAAAACTAGAAATTATTTACAGTTAGTAAATGGTATAATTCTCTCCTTTCAAGGATAAACTTGGCTCAGGAAAACAGTGAAAAATTAAAATCAATTATTTTATTTTTTCTCTGTTTAATTTCGGTCACCTTTAGACAGCATGTTGGAAAGAATTTTCGTTCTATCAGGATAAAGAGTTTCACACTAATCATAAAAGTTACAATAAATTGTTCTGGTTTTATGCGTGTGTGTGTGTGTGTTTAGGGTTTGAAGACGGCCATAGTCAATAGAGGAAAGGAGGACACTGCTGATTACGTGCATTTAGTAAGATAGAAAAATTTGCGGAGAAAATGAAGGGTCTACTATTGCCGAGGGAAGGATCTTGCGAGACATGCAAAAATAACAACAGCAACAACAACGAGAACATACCTAACATGTTGTAACCTTTTCCTCTCTTCTTAAATATAGCATTGGCTGTTCCCACCGGTAAGACAATAATGGTGTCTGGTTTTTCAAAACCTGACAGGCAAACAAATATTTCTTAGTCTGTTAACTACCACGTTACGGTCATTTTTTTGCCTCAAAGGGGAATGAATTGTGGTTTTTTTGCCCACTAGTGGTTTTCCTGGGGGAGACGACCGCTGACTCTGGGTAGAGGACTACCTTACAAACGTCTCAGGTCGGTTCGACAAATTCTCAAGAAATAACGATGAAGTCTTATACTTCAGTTCACTGACGTCCTATAAGTCAGCACGCTTACGTCATCTAAGATAGTTCGCTAAAGTCATGTTATGTTCTTACCGTATCCCGTGTGAAATTTCGTGTACGTAGAATTCACCAAAATGCACGTGTCTCCGACACCACCACAAACTCCACAGCGATCTTTCCTCGCTCCAGACTCGAAACCATGGTCGCAGCCAACAGCCTTTGAGAAAAACCGTGGCCGGTTTTAAGTCATAAGCAGACATGTCATGCCGTGACATGACATGTTCATGACACGTTCAGGAAATGTCATGGATGGCGTCACGCGTAATCAATTATTGGTGACCAGGGCTGAATAGTTCGAAAATCTTAATACAATTTCCATAAAAAAAAAGACACGATTTCTGTGCTGTATATAACTTATTAACATGATGGTAATAGGACTGAGCAGAGTCCAATTCGGTCGGTAATCAGGGATTATCAAAATCGGACGAATGTAAAGCGGGAGTCCGATTTGTTAGTCACAAGTGTGATAACAGACAGATTTAGACGGCACGAAGTCCTCTTCCCAATTAATCAAAACATGACAAAACTAGATATCGGTGATACGTTTTCATGAAAAAACAAGAGTTAACTCGGCAAAATGAGCGAAAATAACGCGCGCACAAAACGCGTACTGTCCACTTCCATTGTCCTATAACAAGTATACGACGCGTGTAATGTCTTATCAGTTCTAAAACTGGGCTGGTGATAACCAATCACATTCGAGAATTTTGTTAGAGTTTTGATTGACCTAAGCCGCGCATAATTTTTCCCCAGAAAAAGCACACACCGATAAGCTTACCTTCACACGGCTTTCAAGGAGCAGTAATGACATTACCGTTTGCTTATATCGAGAAACAGAGATCTACAAACTAACTGCAAGAAACTATCGATGCGCAAATAAACAATCGTACTTTTTTCCAAACATCTGACAAGTATGTAATTACAAAACGACTCACCCGACATTTTCCTTCGATACATACGTCAAAGATTTCAGGATGGTCAGTGCATCGTGTTCCATCAGCTACTGAGCCATAAAGTCTTACTAAATTCTTTTGAATGCAGGCTAGCCTACAAGGATCTACACAAAAATAAAAAAATAATAAAAAGAAAAAAAAAGAAAGAAGAGTTATACTTTTTAGCCGTCCTCTTCGAGAAGATCCTCAACGTGTAAATTGAAATTGAGGTGAAAATCAAGAGGGCCATTTTCGAGAATGACAAGCCGTGACAAAGATATTTTGAAACCCTAGGGCTTGATGAAAGTGACTAATTTAATGTAGAACCAAATGCAGTTTGCTTTCATAATCGACCAGCCCTCTTTCATCCCTCCCATCCTGCCCTTTTGAAGAGAGTGACACACCTTATTTTCATCTCCCCGGGGGTAGGAGAGGCCCTTCAGGATTCTTTATAGGGGCGTGATGCCGAGTTCTCAAAGCGACCATGTTACGACCACGCACCCATTTTCATACTTGGCCCTGTAAAATCCATAGGCTTTTATAGCTTCTGAAATTTGTACTTCTTACTCTTCGTTGCAGCGAATATAAAATTCGCATCAGCGCCGAAGGCAAGGATTGGTAAACCTAACTCGGAAATAAAGATTGAGTAATATATCTCGGCTATATCTCCTACTCGTTCTATAAATCTGCAAACTCGTGAATTGACACATGATTTTTTGGATTATGTTCAATGTTATCTGGTTTAGGGAATTTTGTGGTTGATTGTTGTATCTAGACTACGAGCAGTAGTTCAGTGTTCGCTAATGTAGCAAAGAAACAAAGTAACGTTGGGATAAGAAGGCATTACGATTGAAATGATCATGCTATTACATTTGACAAGGGTGGATGGTGTCATGTGTTTTAAACGTATATCATTTTCGCATCTGGTTCAAAAGAAAAGGTTGGAAGTAAATGTGGGTGAAAAGTGAAATTTACTGTCTATCATTGTAAATATTAGAAAATCAAGGCAATACTGTCTTGATGAAAACATTGACGATTCCCTTTTTATCAAATGAGACAAACGGGAACTAGTTTTGAGTGATATAACTAAGCCAAGACTGCCACCGTCATTTTGGATCTCCGCCTGGGTAGATTTTAGTCACGTGTTAGGCAACGTGTAATCAAGAACAAGATAGAATTTCATTTCAGGCCTATTTATCAATTTTGTAGTGTATAACTTTCGCATTTTAGTACGTAATATTTATTTTGAATCTTCAAATTGTCTTGAAACTTAAAAGAAAATTGTTCTTTAAAAATTCACTGAAAATCGGTAGCTAAAATTGTTTGTTTAGGTGTTACTTGAATTTCCTGTTAACTTGTAATTTCGTTGGTCGCCGGTATCTTCTGTTGCTTCACGCAGGAAAAACACACGATAAAAAACGTAATGATCGATTTTGTCCTCAATCTCACGCCATAACAGAAAAAGGTTTTGAACATCTGTAAACTCCGAGCACTTTGCAGTAAGTGATATTTTCAATGAATCTTCGAATTGTTTTCAAGTTCAAGAATTGTAAATTACAATTTTATGAAAAACGAAGGTTGTTCTGTTATTTCAGTGTGAATCCTTGCATGCCTGCCAGTTGCTGGCGCCGCTTGTTGAAACTAAAACGAAAAAAAAAAACTCTTTTAAGATTATCACTGGCTTCTTTTTCACCCCGCCACTATTCTTAGAAACAAAGGTCGCCATTTCGTTTGTTTATTGCTCGCCAAAAACTATCAAATGCACTCAAAAGCCTAAAACCGAAAAAAAGTTTACAGGAATCGACCAATCGAGCGAGCGAGCGAGCGAGCGAGTGCCATTCTCCACATCATATCTACAACTCGCTCTTGCGCATGCGCGCAATTCACGAGTTAAAAACGAGTATGTTCATACACTCGCACTCAGAACCACACTCGTCTTTAGACCATAATCGTCGAAATCTATACTCGTTTTCAGATCGAAGTGGCGCAAAGACCAATGATACCCTCTGAGGGCTGCACATACATACGTAACTAGCTTATATGAGGGGTGGGGGAACCCCCCAGCCACTCAACCTCAAGGGACTTATCCCCGCCAAAGAACGAGGCAAATGAATCAGCAGATTTGTTTGAACTGTACTTGAAATGTAATAGGCCCTCCTCTCCGGGTGTTTCTCCATACATTGTAGATCTCGATAAGATGGCAAAGGGCACTCAATCTGAAACGAAGAACTTGGGGTCATTTCACCACAGTCTCATTGATAAACTGTTTCTTTTGATTTCCCATGCCATGAGGGGTTTTCACGCATGAGCTGATTTAGACGTATCATCGTATACCCATGAGTGACCAAGACAGAATTTCTCCTTACAAAATAAATACAATTTCAGGCACACGAGTGATGAGAATAAAGAAAAACATCAATTAAGGGTTTATTAGTTAATACAATAAAAAAATTCTCAGAGGTATAACCTGCAACACGCAAGTCATTCCTGCGTTTTTCTGTCAGGACCCCGGAACCCTTTTTTTTTGTCTCATGCTCGTCGAAAAATAATTTCATCATCTTTCTTCACAACATTTTTAAGCTGATAGTGATATACTGCGATAACATTTTTTATTATAAAATTAATTTTCTTATGATCGAAACAAACCTGCGAGTTGCATATTTTCCATTTTCCTCTTGCAGATCCCAAGCAGTTCTCACCGCCATTTTCAGGTCTGCAAAGAATATTTGCGTTTATTATCAAAAAGCTGTGAGTCAGTCAGTCAGTCAGTCTATCAGTCCTTCCGTCAGTCAGTCAGTCAGTCTGTCAACCAGTCAGGCAGTCTATACATCAGATAAAGGACTAACGCTCGAAACGTCAACTCTTTACGGTGGCCTTTTTACGTTTTCAACACCAAAATACCAGTTAGTCTATCAATCAGTCAGTCGGTCAATATATCAGTCAATCATTCCGTCAATCGGTTAGGTGGGTAGTCAGTCAGCCAGTCAGTCTGTCAATCAGTCAGTCGCAGTCTGTCAGTTGGTTTATCAGTAGAGCTCGAATTGTAAACACGCTCAGTGGACTATGGACTAAAAGGCATACGTTGAATGAATGAATGAATGAATGAATGAATGAATGAATGTGTATTTATATACCGCACATATCACATACTGTCTCAAGGCGGTTTACAATTCTAATTGAGTGAGATCGAACGTCAGCTTGTAAAGGCGCCTCTGGCTGCCGCTATCAGTCCATATTTGATCTCACTCACCCACCCAGCCCATGCATGAAATGTACAATGAAACAACAGATAGACCACCACACCGGGAACTACGCCCCCTACTCTTTTCGACAAGTGTGTGGGTTCTTTAACGTCCCCTGCTGACCATGTAACACTGAAGATGCAGGAGACGGGGCCTACGGTTTATAGTCCTTATCCGAGAAGACTTGAATGTCTAACCATTTGCTGGTACAATTACAAAGGCAGCACATTCTCCTCAGTTATTTTAAGACCCTGAGTGTTGGTCCGGTCTGGGGCTCGAACCCTCGACCTCCCGCACAGCAGACTGGCGCTCTACCAACTGAGCTAATACGATTCCATACGTTCCTCATGTTCGAAAAATTTGCTGTGTCAACAAGGCTGCAGTTAGAATTGAAATCCCTTATGCTGTTATTCATCGCCTCCTAAATAACATTAAAATATGGCTCAACATCTCGACTATACGCCGAAAGAAATAGTTTTGTATCAGCTTCCTTTGAAGATGCTTTAATTACTGAGAAACAGACGGAAAACGCTTACGGTGGATTAGTGCAAGCCCTGGTTCTGTACTGTACCCCTCCTCCGCATGTCTGACTGCAAGAACTGTATTCTGACCACTCACCCCATCCACCATTAATTCTGGGTAAACCATTATCAACGCACTTGCCCTTGATGCACCACTATGGAATGGAATGGAGATATGTTGAGGTAGTTTTAAATAAAACTTCTAAAGCTACTTGGGATTGGTTTGTTGTGTTCTACTCTGTTCTATCGGATTGGTCATAAAAACCCTCTCAACCAAAGAGATGCAAAACTGATCAAAGTTGTTCATTAGCGTCTTTTCTTTCCCTTTTTTTGAATTGAATTTGGATTTCAACAATTTAAATATGTCTAATATTGTTACAAGCGAGCCAACTATGATTACCCCCGTAGTTATAATTAAAAAACGATCCCCACAGGGGTGTGTTTTCAGCAGTTACGGGAAATCAGCAATTGAACATAACACCACACTTTAAACATAGCAATTTTAATCCAATAAATTTTATGATGCTCGTTTTTTGTGTGTATTATTGATTGATGCTAGAGAAAAAACCGTGTTGTACTTGCTAAATTAGTAAGAGGAATACATAACAGAAATTTCGTGCCTAGAAAAAAGGCATAAACCTTCATGATATCGATGTAACAAAAGCTAGAGTTAGTACGCAATCGTGTGCAGATCAAGTCGACATACATGGCGTGGTCCACAATTTGTACCGTCCGCCGGGGGAGCAAGCTTACTGTTGCAACTGCCGTATGATCTTGAACAGTACAAAGAGCCACAGTTTGTCTGAAATATAATGAAGGACATTAGTTTCAAATATCCGCCACTAGCCACTTCCACTTCGGTGAAATTAATTTGTGAAATTTTGCTAAGTAAATTTCCATAACATTTATAGAAACCTTGCCTTCTCAAAAGAACAATGTCGCCATCCAACGCCATAAAGAAATTCACACTGAGTATCTCCGTCAAACAAAACGCCAGGAAGGTTTCTGTCCGCTTTAGCCGAGTAGTTAAAGCCAGGAAGAGATATCCTTGGAGGATCATCTAAACATTTGGAGCCAGGTCCACTGTAGAAGGAACATATTATGGTCTGTGGCATGCAATGATCCCATTAAAACCCGCATAAGAGGGAATTATGAACGGGTGTTACAAAATTAACTTAAATACATTTATATAGCGCAATCTTCCATTAATTGTCCATGACGATTTACAATACTCTAAAAACCGTAAAAATTAAAATCCTAAGAATTAAATACACTATAACTACAAGTAAAAACTACAAATCAAATGCAGGCTTAAAAAGATAAGTCTTAAGATTAGCCTTAAAAACTGCCTCTGATGATGAAAGCCTGATCTGGAGTGGTAGTTTATTCCAGAGCCTTGGTACCGCCACGGAAAAAGCCCTTTCACCACACGCTTTAAGATTCGCTCTAGGCTCAAGCAACCTGTTGTTTGAAGATCTTAGTGTGCGACGCGAGTCATTATACTTCTCTGAATCGAAACCAATGTGATAAATGAAAAACGAATTGCATTGGAGGAAAAAAATCAAAGGAGCCAGTGGAAGTCATTGCAAACACGCAAGTGCCTTGGGCTGTGATTCTTCACAAATGGCATTTCCTTAATCATGTTGTGCCTGATGCATTTGATCTGAAATTTTCCTCTGCTGCAGATTTTTCCTGTTTTAATTATTTATATCACTCCTGACCTGAGAAACCCTTGAAGCACTTTTTGGCTGCATGGTGACCATTTCAAGGCACCTTGTCCTCCTGGCAGCACAGGAGCCATGATGTTTACGCCAGCGGTGCAGTTGTTTCCTCCATCATGGTCCACACCGATACTGGTGATCGTAATTCAGAAAAAGAGAAACGTTATTCCCTCTATTACGAGCGTGGGCAGCCTATTACTCGTAGCCTCCATACCAATTATACCCTTGAGTCAACCCTATGCCGTATCTTTTCATTTTTAGAACTGAGATATGTGGGGTGGTTCTTTGATTTCCCGCGAAAACACGCTGACGTTTGCACAACACCCTAAAAAAATGGTAAATTTTCCTTGCTTTTCGCTATTATTGAAGTACTTTCGTATTGAAGTACTTTCGTGCGGCCTGCATGTGACATAAACAATAGAGGACCACAGCTCTCTTATGATTGGCTATTATGTAAACACCCGCGAGAAACCCCGTGGGAGGCTTCTAAAAATAAAAAGATACGGGACAGGGTTGATTCAGAGGGTAAGTATGGAAGATGGAAGCTCCGGATAATGGGGTCCTGGCGTGGGACAAAGAAAACAAACCGTAAGTGCGCTTGGTGGTGTTAAACCACAGACATTGAATTTCGCGACACAAATTCTGTAATGATCACTTGGATCAGCAAAGCCACAAGCGCCGTTTGCATGAGTGAAATTCCGTTACAGGTTTGTCGATGGAATATCTTCCCACAATTGGCAGTGATGTCGCAATCTGATTGGCCAATTTGCGGTTATCGGTAAGAGTACGGACAATGCTACTCGCGTCAACGTGTCACGCAATGCCTATATTAGCTGTCAAGCATGGGTGATTCACTCGGATTACTTGACATCGATGTTGTGGTAAAAAAAAAAATAGACAGTTGTTTAGCGTGATCCTTACTCTTATCGACAACGATATTCGCCATCAAAGGAGTCAAAATTTGTTGCGGATTCACTCGGCTGCTCCTAATGATCCACAATATTTTAACCGCTGTGACGACGAATATAGTTGTCGATAAGAGCTAAACCACCGCGATTTGTTAAGCGGCCACACCACCAGAAAGGACCTGATATCAACCATTTCAAACAAGGAATCTGCTACAGTGCTCTCTCACTTTGCTTAATCTATGTTTAAGTTTAGAACTCAGAATAATAGGTAATGGACTTTTTTTTGTTCCTGAATCGTTAACACATTTGTCTGGTTAATCAAAATATAATTCGCTCACTTGTGTCCAACTTCGTGTGCAATAATCCCGGCTGTTTGCAGACCAGCATAACTATTGACGTTACCAGTGACTCTGCTCGAGCATACGCCTCCAAATACGGCTAAACCTATTAGGAAATAAGACTGATTTGGTTTTATCAACTGAGTTGATAATTTAAATCGGCCACCGTAAAGAGTTTTTGAATCTGACGTTTCGAGCGTTAGCCCTTTATCAGAGCAACGAAGAAGGGCTAACGCTTACAGCACCACAGTTTTTAAATCTTCGAGGAAACAACTAGCAGTTGTTTTTTCAGAACACGCTGCATGCGTTCTCCTTGCTACCCAAATAATTACATCGTGTTATCAGACTTAGCAGTAGCATCCAAATCGAATATGAGGGAAATGATTTTCACACACCCCCGAATGTGGCCAGTCCTATAAGTAAATAACCAGCACACGTACATATTTCAGACCGAATATGTCATGATTTGCAGATACCCACCATAACAACGGCGAAATAAATAATTTGGAATTTCATATTCATTCAATATCAATTATATCAAAGAAAGAATGACAAATGAACAGGTATAAAAAAACATACCTACCTCCAAATCCTCCACTTTCCAAGGAATTACAAATAGGTAAAATGAATAGGAAAAGAGAGACCAACACAAAATCATATTAAAACCTGGAATCATATCTAAAACTGTGAAACTTGTTACCAATCATTGTGTAAAGAGTTCAGTTTTCTGGTATAAAAGAGTTTCTCCGATATATTTAAAAGCATACTATTTCTAGAAAAACATTAACAATGAGAGACAGACAACCTAGTTCCTAAGCCTTGTATGTCTCAAGTTTTCTTTCTTATGGTAAACAAAGGGCGGTTTTTTTAAAGAAAGTTAAGCCTTTGTCTAGCAAAACCGCGTCCTAAACAATCCTCAATTTAGCTGAACCTTTTATCTGATATTTATTTTTGTGAACAGTATTAAGATGGCCGTAAGCTAGCAGTGGAAGGACATTTTTAATTTCATCAAATTAACGCTCTAGAGAAAGCAAAGAGAAAGCCCGGGGCCCACTGATTGCGTGAAACCGTGGTTTGGGTTGGACGTCGTGTAAATAACCGGCCTAAAATGTTTGTCCTAGACAAGTTGAGTTAATGGTCAGCTTTATTTCATCATAATTTATTTACTCAAGTTTACTTAACTGAGAGAAAAGTCCCCCCCCCCTCCCCTGACAAAGAAGAAACAAAAGCAATGAACGCATTCAATTCTTGGTTTTCACTCACGTGACTTTTGTCTTGACGACGGTTGCTATCCGCCATGTTGGTGCCCAAACAAATAGTTACTTATAACTAACGCTTATAGTAAGATGAAAGTGAGAAAGTAGAGATGGTCCATTGCGTAGTTTTCGGCTGTGGCAGTAGAAGTGATCGGGACAACGGGATTGGATTTTATCGAAAACCACCAGTTATAAAAAATAAGTCTGTCTTCGAAGAAGAATTGATAAGAAAGCTCGAACTGCTTCAAAATTTCGGTCGCAAAAAGTACGGGGAAATATGATCAATAAATGTTTCACTTACACATGGACAAGTGATGTCACGTCGAAAAACAGAGGATCGCTCCGATCGGCTGGTTTGATTCTGTTTGCCCATTGACTGATTTTGTCCAACTTTTCTCCCGATGAAGAACCCTGGCTGACTCCCAGCTAAAAGATATTTCTGCCTCTTGATCAATTGTGCCACACCAAATGTAGCTATTAATTAAGTCTTATTTATCATCTTGATGAGAAGCCTTCCTTTCTTTATTATTTGACCAAATATGGTGTTTGTTTTTTGTAATTGTAAAGAATCATAGAGTTGTTGGCGTTGTTTTTTTATTCTGTATCTCAACATTCTTATGCAGGTTAAGTTTTAAGTTGGATTTGGTCAAAACTCTCGAGGGGTGCTTTTAACCCTTTACATCCTAATATCGGTATGCACATTCTCCATACTGTTCTTTATACATTTTCTAGGGTGCTGACAAGGAGAATTTGTATAACACTCAAAAGCTTCTTTAGTTGGTGATCATTTCCTTTATTCTCATAACCTTAATAAGTGGTTCATTGTGGTATCGAAAGGAGAAATTAGATGCTAGTCACTCTTCAAGGGTGAAAGGGATAAGCAAGCTACCCAAGAGTACCTCTTATTAACTGATGGCGCCGCACTGCACCATGAAAATGAACTTACCTCTTTGTTAGTAATAATGACAAGACGGCTGATAAGAAAATTAATTTTAATTTTCCCGATGGAATTGTCGCGGAACGATCCAGAAACCTGTAAAAAATTAAAATAACTGAAAGGATAAGCAATACATGAAAAAAAGGGCAAAAAAAATAGGTACATCTTTGGTGCCATAGTAACAAGTATCTTGACAACTTGAGGAAGTCCTTGATTGAATTTAAGTACATCATTAAAATACGGTTTACCTAAACGAAACCAGAAACAGGTGATTACTTCTTTTAAGAAAGCATATCGAAGGCAACCAGGCCAAGTCGTTACCATAGACACGAGTTTACGACTAGGCTTACGAGTTGGATGACCATGTATATTCTCATATGCAAGCCTGCATGGAATTTTGAGGGAATGCTTTTGAAACGTTTTTAGTAGAAAAACGCGTGAGATATTTCATGTCAAAGAAAGGCTCGGTTGCTTAGTGAAGCGGTTGAGCTACACTCACTATGTTAGCCAAAACTAACAAAAAGTGCGCAGTCTCGTTTCCATGTCTAGCTTCCACATTCTCATCCGCTACCAGTGCAGCCTGCAAGTACTTGTGGGCGACGAGTTCCGTAGGTGAAGTTCTACTGAATATGTCGTAATTCTTGCCTGATTCGGTGGAGCTCGAAGCAACACCTGAAATGTTCAGAGAACATAGAAGAGAAAAGTCATTATTTTTCGTCCGGAAGACGAGGAGGGGGGTTGCGGGCGGGGCGGAAGTCGGAGGTTTCTGGTCAAATCACGATGAGATTACATGATCTCCCCATTAAGCTGTGTAATGTTTTCACGATACATTCTCATTGGTAGTCAATTTTTAACACACCCACCTTAAAACTCTATTAAAGACGATTGAGCGCGCTCCGTATAACCGAGTAGTTTTCTGTCTGCCAAAAAATTTCTAAATTCGAAGACTGAATTTTTCAACCAATAAACATCAAAGGAAACGAACCACACTTTCCAACATGTTGGGGCTAAAAGGCCTGCCCATACCTGATGAATCAAGGCAGTGTAGGGATGTTGCTGATTTTCTGTAAACAAGGTGTGGCTTGGCGGCGTTCCTGATAGTCACGTGTTTTGCCAGATGGTTAGGAAGTGGATGGATGAAGAACGTATCATTCGATAAAGATATCATTCCTGTCTGCAAGATAAAATGAGGGTTTCCACAAGGGATACTTCACGGTCTTATTACACATGAGCATCACCGTGAATTTAGGGACGTGTCATTGTTTATCGCTTGGGGAGCTGGAGAGAGGAGGGGGGGGGGGGAGTCCGGAGGGATCACATGGTTTTTAGAAAATTGACTGCCAATTAACTACCAAGGAGTGAAGGGGGGAGGGGGGGGGGGAGGAGGAGGGTCATGGCATTATGGGAGGATCACGTGAATTTTATCGGGACACAAGCAAACTCCTTCAACCCCCAGGCGATCAATATTGATTGGTCTCTTAACAGGAATCGTTCCCCGATTCCCATGATGCAATAAATTAGATTTGTTTAAGTGACCCCAATCACAGTTTCAGCGCTGTAAATCTCTTGAACTGAATGAGCATGGCTCAATTTATTTTCTACAGGAATTGTCCGAGGGGGTGGTGGAAATTTCCTATCCTTGGTGAATAATGTTATTTGTGAATATGAAAGCGATCATATATTCACAGTCCTGTACAGGCATAAATTTTTTTTTCAGGCCTCATTTTCACTGCTGCTAGTGACACGTAGTAGTAAGTAGTGTTCATTCACTGCGAATATCGCTTTCATATTTACGTCTTTTAATATCCGCAGTTCAAATATATGACTTTCATATATTCACAGTCGTTTAATGTTATCTGCGAAGCTGGACAAAAATCAAACAGTAAAGAAAAGCTTTTACCGTTCTTACAATAGTATTACTCAGTAATCACTAACCAGTCCTCTTGCATTGCTCAAAGCCACAAAAGAGTTTGGATCAGAAATGTCTCTTCCATGAAAAAATGAGTCGGACTGGACAGGCGTCCTTGTGACGTCACCGTTATTATGTCGCGTCTCAAGCTCCAGGCCAGGTTTCACCAATTGCGTGTTTCTTGCTAGTTTCAAATGCATTTTGCTCCCAAAAGCGTCCATTTTGTAGTGCCAATCTTCCCCCGCGTGAGCATCGCGCTTGTGTCTCTCGTGAAGTGTATGTGTCACGAAGTCGCCATTTTGGTTTGACTGATAAGGCGCGGTTACCTCATATTCAGGTACTGAAAGATAAAGCTGAACGTTTCGGAAATTGGTTGCGCTCTTTTACATTACACTGTAAAATTTATTGTGCAAAGACCGCAAGAAAATATTGCTTGAATTAATTTTTTTTTGAAAGTTAAAAACTGCTTTTTATCACGAGGTTATATTTAAATCCAATCAAATCATAATGTTTATCGTGAACAAGAACACATAAGTAGACGTCTGAGGTTATCCCTATTGAGGACGTTCTCTAAATAAAATATAAAATAATCTGTCATAAAAACAGAATCGTAAGAACTAGCGAGAGTTGAGCTTACATTACAAAACTTCCTTAATTTACTTCGAAATCCTCGCATATAAATGAATCACTGTTTTGACGGTTTCAGGATGAAAGAAGACCCTTACCATCCGCAAAATTCTGGACGCCAAACAGCCGCTGTATCTCCATATCTGTCATGTGATGATGAAGGGGCTAGGGAATGGAGGGGAAAGTTATAAGAAGCAATATCGGCTGAGGCAAATAAAAAGTTGGCTTCTAAAGCCAGATACTACAAGAGGCAACATTGTGTGCTTAAAATTTGGAGTTGAAGGTGACCTTGTTGTGAAGCCAGATACTACAAAAAGCAGCAAGGTTTGTAT